TCAAGTTGATGTATGTCCATTTGATATGAGACTTAAAATGCTTTCAACTAGTATGTTTAAATTTTGGTTTATCAATTCCGTTTATTGATAATGGATAATTCTTTTGTAGGTACCGGGCAATGATGATGATCAGTCTTACTATGTAAACCATGCAACTAAGAGAGTCGGTGTATTTAGTGAAACAAGGTGAAGATTGAAAGTGTAAAAGGCGTGTTTCACTAAATTGGAAACTTTTGAGTTATTTAAAAGAAGTGCTACTTTGTCTTTTTTAATTGGTTCGGAGGGCCACATGGCAACCACCAATCGGTTATTTTACTAAAATGAGGATTGTGCTTCTTCAACTCCATTGTGAGGCTTTGGATCATAATGTGTGGCTAGGATTTAATCTTGATTACATATGGTTTTTATGACTCTTGTGCTACCTATTTTTAGTGGCAAGAGAGTTCTCATTCTTTCCGGAGATTTTTAAAAGGTGGCTCTCTCTCTCTCTCTCTCTCTCTCTGTGAAATTCTTCCAATTTCCATTATGTTTCACTGTGATTATTGGAGAGGTTAAAGAATTGTATAACCATTGTGTTGTAGACTTGAAAGAAAGGTTTCAATCTGTTATTTTTTAGCGTGGTGCACTAGTTTAGCTGTGTTAGTTCTTGTGAAGTTTAGGGTTGATTCTTATATCTGGTTCTTGAGATCTTTATGTGATCTATGATTAGAACCTTAAGAGAAAGTCAGATTGGTTCCTTTGTACATTGATCTCTTTGGAAGGCCGGTTATACATAGTGGATTGGGCTGATCCTGAGCCCCTCAGATTAGCCCTTATTTGGGTGAAATGGGTGACCATTTTTTGGTGTTCTTATTCTTTACATTTTCTGCATTTTATTTACTGTTTGAGATGCTGTGATTTTTGCCAAATGATAGATGTTTTTGGTTTGACTGAGTGGCTGAAAATAAAAGATCATTGAGGTAAAATCAAATCTGGGGCCAATAATCCCAACAGATTTCCATTTCTAAGAAAATGAAATTGAAGAGTGGATTTAAGAGATTATCCATATTTTGTTGTTGCTTTTTGTTTGCAGATTGAAAGCCAATCTGCAGTTGACACATAGTTGAAATGAGATGCTGAGCTATCATTGTTGAGCTTGGATATTCTCAGTTTTTGAGTTTATTTTTGTTTTTGTTTGTATAACATAGGACATGGGTGTATGGTTACGGTTGTTTGAGTAATATAATTAAATCCTTGAAGATTGTTCTTTAAATATCTTTGCAATTGCTTATTTGTACGAAAATAACATTTTAGTAAGAGACTTGCTAGAAAAACAGAGGGTCTGACCGGCCCCCTGACCGAACCCCACCCATGGCGGGACTGGGCCTGTCAGCCCTGTTTATCTAGCAAATTTCTTTTAGTGATCGTGTGTTATTCTTCTTTACACTTCCGCTTGCATAATTTTGCCTACTACTTGTCTGAATTTTTCTGGTACCTAGACTCAGCATGTTGACCTTAATTGACACTGTTCACTTTCAATTGTAAATGTATTATCAAACAAATTAGGGTGTATTTGATGACAATGATCGTAGTTAAAGTGGATGTTGTGAACAATGGAACAATGAAGTTGGATGAAGAATTATGAAGACTCTGGAGAAAAATGGAAAGCTGGAATTCAAAATGTGGTAGACTTAAGAGCAAAAACATGTTCTTGTACAAGTTATGTTAAGGTGTGAATATAATTATCCATTGAAAAAGTAGAAATGGGATAAAATGACAGTTTTTTGCTCTTTTAATTATTTTTACTCGTCAAGCTTCTTCTTTTAATGCCTTTTATATTTTGTGATCAAATCATAGATGTACTTTACTAATATAACAGACAACAAATACTGATACTGGAGTTTAAATCCTTCAACCATATATATTTAACAAAATTTTCTTATTCTAAATATAAGTTGAATCAGTTGTCTTATCTCAAATGATACCAATCACTCAAATGCTTGCTCAAATAAATTAGCAATGAAGGATTTTTGCAAACCGAAATCTCATTTTTTTAAGCATCTATGTTGGACAATCGATTTTGGACAGCAGATACTTTTCGATGATTATAAGGGACCTCAGGAGGTTTAACGGTCCTGATCAAAGCCCAATTCACTCCCTTGAAGAATTCATGCCTCTTTATCTCAACAGAGCCCTTTTGGCTTCCAATTCTTTTCTTGGGGTTCTTCACCAGAAGCCTGCTTATTAAATCCTGGACTTTCACCAATTCTTCATATTCTTTGCTGCTACTGATTCCCACTCTTGGGAAGGTCAATGATTGCTTCAATATATTGATGAGAGTTTTCTCATTGTTCTCTCCTTTAAACGGTGTCATACTGTACAAAAGTTCGTATAGAAACACCCCAAATGTCCACCAATCTACTGCACTTCCATGTCCTTGCCCGGAGATGACCTCAGGTGCCAAGTACTCGTGTGTTCCGACAAAGGATTTTGATCGAGCATTAATAGGTTCTGCTACTAATTCAGAATTGTATTGTTGAACATCCTTCAGTTTTGGAATTGTTGGACCTTGAGTTCTGTCTTTTGTTAGACCTGGCAAGAAAAAAACGTAGTTTGATAATAAAATTATATAATACAGTTGAGAAGTAATTATAATTTAATAATATTATGATGTTATAATACCTTCTTTAATGGAAGTTGAAAAACATGAGAGCATTAGCTATATAGGCATGGCACAGGAGGGGGTTGAGCACATGGGATTTTTATTAATGGCAGCTTCTTGTTCAAGTTTAGATCTTATGAGTTTGGGGACACTTTCACATTTGAGAGAGAGATCAAAATCTGAAAGCATAATGTGACCATCTCCTCTTACAAGAACATTTTCTGGTTTAAGATCTCTGTAAACAATGCCCAACATGTGGAGATACTCTATGGCCAAAAGAGTTTCTGCTGCATAAAACCTGAAATGCATGTATGAAAATGTACAATACACTAGATTAAGGAACAACTTTCTAATTATCTGTTAATTTGTTAATGAATACTTAAAAATATATAGAGACAAACTTCCATCTAACTTTGCTATGGTAAAGCTATTTAGAATGAAAAAAAAAAATTGAATCAACATCATCGTTCTTAATTTCGGACTTGACTTTGTTTATCTATCGATTATTTATCCAGCACTATGCTTTCTATGGATACATCAACATACATTTACCATATTCCCCAGCTACTAGAGGAGTACGGGGAGACTTGTGCGCATTTTGTTTAGGTATGTACGACTAGATTGCTTTTCAGGGTGGGTAGATCATGCAGACTTTTTACCCCTTGTCAAAGAAAATTGGGAAAAGAGAACTAGAAGCTCAGGCTTATTCAAACTTGGAGAAAAATTGAAGAAGTTAAAACCAATTTTGAAAAAGTAGAACAAAGGTGATTTTGGGAATACCAAATGTCGCATGGTGGAGTTGGAAGACAAAATTGTCAGGCTGGAAGATCAAATTTTAAATTCCGTTAATGCGCAGGATGAAAGGAAATTAATTGCAACAAGACTTGAATTGAAGGATTGGATTCGGTGAGAAGAAATTTTCTTGGCACAAAAAACCAAATTGAAATGGTTAAAAGAGGGAATGCCAACACTAAGTTCTTTCATGTGTTAATTGCCAAACGTCGGAAAAAATCTTGGTATTGTAGCATGACTTTCCAGGATGGATCAACACTTGACAGCCCACAAGCATCCATGATGGAGCAGTGAAGTACTTTCATGTGTTAGTAACGACTGATAATGTCATACGGAGGATTGAATTATTGAATGCACTGATTACACCGAGCATATCATTGGAAGATAGTATTAGATTGTGTGAGGCTCCTTCTCACGAGGAAGTAAAATCTACAATGGATTCATTCCATAGGATAGTAGCCCTGCCCTGATGGTTTCTCATCGAGTATTTATATGAGTTGTTGGGATATCGTTGGAGAAGATGTTTAGGAGCCTACGGTAGATTTTTTTGGTGATTCGATGCTCCCCAATTTTTACACATCAACTTATATTGTTCTCATCCCAAAAGTCAAGGTTCCTAGCGACTTTGGAGAGTTCAGACCCATTAGCTTATGTTCGGTGGTCTACAAATGCTTTGCCAAGGTAATGGTTAACAAATTGAAACCTTTACTTCATAAATTTATCTCAAAAGAGCAAGGGGCTTTCATAGCGGACCAAAGTTTTTTGACAATATTGCCCTGGTACAAGAGCTACTTCAAAGCTTTAACAGGAAGATACGAGGTGGGAATGTAGTGCTTAAAGTAGACATGATGAAGGCGTGTGATAGGATTGGATGGAACTTCTTGATGGTAGCCCTAAACTCTTTCGATTTCTCTACACGATTTTTCCAATTAATACAAAACTGTATTGTTGCACCTTCATTCTCGGTGATAATGCATGATACTTATCATGGATTTTTTCAAATCTTCCCGGGGAATCTGTCAAGGAGATCCTCTCTCTCTCCATGTTTGTTTATTATTGCAGAAAAGACTCTTACATGAATGCTACGATAGGCTTGTTTGGAACAATGCATTGGAAATTACTCTCTTCCTGTTGGAGCACCTCGTATCTCTCACCTATTATATGCTGACAATCTAATTATTTTTTGTAATGGCAATAAAACGTCTATTAAAACAGTGGTAGAGATCTTGGGCATTTATGAAAATATGTCGGGACAGAAAGTAAATCATAGGAAATCAGCTATATTTTTCTTGAAGCACATATCCTTGTCGAGAAAGAATGAAGCACTCTAGTTGAGTAACTTCACACAATGGTCTTTTCCAATTACTTATTTGGGCGTTCCAATATCTCCAGGCTGTTTGTACATCAAACATTTTGAGCCGCTAGTTATGAAGGTGAGAAAGAAAATATCTATCTGGAAATTTTTACTCTTATCAGCTGGAGGAAGATTAACTCTTGTTAAGCATGTTCTTTCAAGCATGCCTATACATATCTTATTGGTCATGTGCATACCTAAAGGGGTTATTCATCAGATTCACTTATTTAGAGAGAGGTAGATAGCAAAGCTAAGCGACATTGGGTGAGCTTTGGAAATATTACCAAACCTTTATCAGAATGAGGCTTAGGCATCCGAGACTTAGCAGAAGTAAAAGTGGCTCTTAAAACAAGATTTGCTTGAAAAATCTGTTTTTCAGATTCACTACTAAAGGAGTTCCTAAAAGCAAAATATTTTCTTTACAAATCATACAATGAGATTCAGATATCAGCTTTGAATTTACCATTCTGGAAGAGCATATCAAATTTGATACCTATGGTAATTGAAAATTCGGTGTGGCAAATCAAAAGTGAAGATGTTAATTTCTGGTAAGATAATTGGTCTGGTATAGGACTGCTATCAAACCTGGTGGAGGTAATGGAGCCTAACTTGAGGTTAATGTTGTGGTGACCTTAAGGGGGTGGAATGAAGATGTCTTGTCAGATCTAATTGGGGTCGATTTAGCTAAAGCTGCAATAGAACAAGTTCCGAGGTTACGTGAATGAGTGGATAAAGTTTATTGGAAACCATCTCTAGATGGTTCTTTCAGCACTGGAAGTACTTGGGAGATTATTCGAGCCAAACAAGAGTGTGTAGATTGGGATAAATGGGTATGGCACCCTTTAATTCCAAAAAAAAATCTCCTTCATCACTTGGAAAGCTATACATAATGCGCTCGGTGTGGATGAAAGAATACAAATGGTGGGGATCTCCTTAGCATCAAAATGTGTATGTTGTGCTATACCTCATATTGAGTCCCTCGACCATTTGTTGGATGGCAGCGACCTGGCGAATTTCCTATGGGTATAGATACAACGGCTTTAGGCATTTCTCGCATTACATCGATGGGTTGGAGGCAAAGAATGAACCTTTGGTTCTCTAAGGCATCAAGGACGTCCCAAGTAAGCATGATTTTTTGGCTTTTCTCCTGTTCTAATTTTCTGGGCTATTTGGACAGCAAGGTGCCGAAAAAAGATGGAAGGAGTGGCTACTAATTGTGTCAAATTTGGGCTTCAGAGAAATGGTGGATGGGTGAACTATGTGCTAATGCGGCTAAAGTAACTAGGCTATCTTTGTCTGATTACATTGCATTACGAGCTTTGGGAATTCAGATTCAAAAATTGCATAATAAAGTCACTAAGTTCGTCCGTTGGATACCTCCTCTCCCTACCTTGGTTAAGTTAAGCATTGATGGATGTTGCATAGGAAATCCTGGTAAATTGCAGCAGAGGTGGGGTGATTAGGGATGATAAAGGGGAGTTTATTTATGCTTTTCATACTTTCTATGGTCACGGTACTAACACATGAGCAGAGCTGAAAGCAGTTTTGGAAGGCATTCACATATGCGTGGAATGTAACTTCCCAAAGATCATAATTGAAAGTGATTCGCAAGTCATTATGAATTGGTTCCTCAATAAACGATGTACATGATGGAAATTTTGGCAAGAATGGGAGTTAAATGACCTCATGACGGAAAGAGAACTGGTGTTCAAGCATGTTTTTCGGGAAGCAAACCAAGTTGCAAATGCACCATCTAAAATAGACGGAAGTGGGAACACGACAGTCTTTCATGATATGGCAGATCTTCCAGGGGCAATCACCAACTTGATTGTATCAAATAGAAATCATTTCCATATGTACGAAGTTATTAATAGTTTTGTCTTTGAAGTTGTCAATTTGTGATGTAAATTTGTATTCATGGTATTCATCCGCCATACGTGAGGGCTGATCTATAAAATTTGGAAGGCTGCCTTTTCGTGATTACGATTGGTGTCGTTAATGAAAG